AGTAAATTAATTCCTTACTATTAATTTCTTATATTCCTATATTTATTCCTTGGTTTTATGTTCATATGTTAATGATATCTTGATGGGAAATAATAAATACTGATAATCTAGAGTTGCAATTGCTGTTTTTGGAGTAGTCAAATTTTCAACACTTAAATGGCTACAATTTATTTATTAAAAACATACATGCCCAAAAGCAAGTTATACAAATATCATCTAGTAAAAACTGCCCTGTGAGTGTTGTATTTAAAAAAAAAAAATTAACATTTATTTATTATTGAGAGACAGAGAAACAGAGCATGGGCAGAGAGAGGGAAAGACACAGAATCTGAAGCAGGCTCCAGGCTCTGAGCTGTCAGCACAGAACCTGATGCGGGGCTCGAACTCACAAACTGCGAGATCATGACCTAAGCTGAAGTCAGACACTTAACTGACTGAGCCACCCAGGTGCCCCCACGTGAGTGTTGTATTTTAAACAGAAACTCATAGTATGGACATTTCCATTTCCATATGTGCACTGTAGTTTTAAGATAAACCCAATAATTATTTATAAATATTTATTTGTTTTAAAATGTATGGAAATGCTGCACAATTGTCACATAATACTTTCAGTCTGAAGAAAGATATCATTGGCATTGTTCTCAAAGTGATTATTGTGCAAATGATAATGTTTCAGTAACTGTGCTTGGAAAAAAAAAAAAAAACATAAGCAGTAGAGTGATTGGTTGTGTGACATTAGATATAAGATAGAAAGTCATTCCCATTTGCAAAACAGTGTAGAAGAGTAGAAGGAGCTGTGACAATTTTACCAGGAGGGGGGAAAAAAAAGATGAAAAGATTACATTTCTGGGACTATCAGTCTTTGCTGAATCAAAACATAACCATGGAATTGCGTTATATATTGTCAGGTAAGAAAATAGTGTTTTCTAATTGTTAACCCAGGATTTCAAAATCTTAGTAAAGTGAGTTTTATTCTCACAACTGCTCAATCAATACATGATTAATGGATAAGCACATAAATAAATTTTAAAAAATTGAGTAATATCACATAGGGAAGCTATGATGAGCCTCAAAGATATCTTTAAGAGTACGTTGACCTTTGTTGTGTCTGAACACAGGAGGCAACATAAAATGATCTTCAAATTTCTCTTCCTTAAAGATTTATTTCTAAAATCATTTCCCAGTAACATTTCCAGTTCAAAACTCAAGATAACAAAGCCGGTTGTGGAAGGTGGTCTTCAATTTTATATTCCTGATCATCTCAATCACCTGTCTTAAGTTGTAACTATGTAAGCTGATTGTATTGCAGCACAGGGTCAAGGAACGTTTGTAGCATCATAAAGCCGTGAGTGGTATAGACTGACCATTTAGGTTTTTTATTTCACTTGGCCAAGCTCCGCCCCTATCCAAAACGTCTCCCCTGCTAGAAGTCTTCTTGGACAAAATGATTAGGCAGCTCATCAAAGTTCGGACCTTACTCAACAGAAGCATTACATGGAGGCACCCCACCATTTCAGCACCTCCTACCTAGTCGTGTGCAAGTGCTGAAGGGACAGCTCCCAGAGTTTCAGATCATTTCAGAAAGCACTCCCAGGAAGACAGTACCCATCTCCTCTCTGCTACAAACACCCATTCACAAAATCCGAAGAGAGAACTACAGTCGCCCCTAGTTCCTTGGAGATTTAGTTAGACTGATGTTGGAACACACCCTCCTTCCCTAAGTGTATAATTACTCGTGGGTGGAGAGCCACCGGGGAGGGTAATAGAAGAGGGAAGAGGGAAAAAATTAATTAATTTAAAAAAAAGTAGAAGACGGTTTTGTCCTGACTTCTGAAAATCTTGTTAATTTTCTCTCCTCCCCCTCTCCCATTTTCCCAATCCGGAGAATGATGGAGTTCGAGGCAAGGCAATGATTCCGGAAATGGAGATATGACTCTCAAACCTAGAAATGATCTGGGTGATTTATTTAAAGTTAAATACTCCTCGCCCCGGGAACCCAGCACAATTCTTATTTAAAGGAGCTTGTGTTTTCTCCTACATAACGTAAACAGGAAAACAGTTGCCTCCAGAGGTTGAAAACCCGGTTCCGGAGCGCGTTTCTTGCTGTCTTCTAAGCTACAGACGAAGGTGGGGTGGACAGCGCTCACAACCTGTGAAAGTGCGAAAGCCTCGAGAAGCCCGGTGGCCAATTCCCTACTGGCCAGAACTCTTCCCCGCCATCCCTCATCATTCGTGACTCTGCAAGACACAGGGACTCAGACATGTGTGTGGGAGTGCGTGCGAGGGAGGCAGGCGAGAGGACAGCGGCTCTCCACATGTGCAACCCTGCAGCTAGCTCCCTGCACTCATTCATGTGCATGCAGTGGTTGAATCTTTGATCAAAGCTGGACTAGTTATACTTATCAGTTGTCTTTTTTTTTTTTTTTTTTT